ATCTTTGTTCTGTTTTCACAGCTTCATTGTTTACCCTTTAACTCTAATAGATCTGGAATTTACTTTACTGTAAGATGTAGACAGGAGATCTCAGTTTATGTGTTCACTGTAACCAGACCACCCCTTGGAAATCTGAATATAAGACATCTTTTTCTCATCTTCTCCTAGGCTCACTACATCCTTTGGTTTCTATCATCAAAAATGCAGTTGATCGGTTTTTCTCATTCCAGTAGATCTGACTCTGATTACAGTGTCAGTCCTATAGAGAGGACTTTTAGATTATCTTAATCAGAGTTCAAGAGTCAGGTCTGCAAAGAGACAGCAAGATGGGTGTGGGCACCTGGTCCCCGTGTCTCCATCCCCAGCACCACTGACCACATGCCCGGAACACGCAGGGGACAGACAGGCAAAGAAACGAGACTTCTTACCAGAATGGGAGGGCAAGCAGAGCCTGCTCCCCTGCAGACCCTTCTCAGCATGGGTTTGCTCTAACAAGCAAGAGGCCATAGCTTTGGGAGCCTGGCCAGACTTCTGCCTGCTACATCCTGGGAGGAGGCCCCACAGGGAGGAAAGCCACTGCCCGTTGTCTGCTTCCCTGAGAGAGCAAGCCCCTCACTCCCTCTAACTGGGCTTGACGTCAGCGGGTCGCCCAGAGGGGCTTCTTGTTTCACTGTCTTAGAGGGACCCTTCACCGGACCGAGGTAGACAGAGCCTGGGCCATGGTCCTCCCAGCGGGCCTCCTGCTGCCATGCCCAGGGGCTCTTTCTCTGTCTGTTTCTTTTATTTTGAGAGAAAGCGTTCTGATTCCGCGGCTTTCTTCCTGCACAGTCTTTATCTAGAGCACAGCTCCTGTACTGTTTATACAAGGAGCGGATTTCCGGTTTTGCTTTTGCTGACCGTCGTTTGGCGTCCTCACTGGTGGCAGCCGTGGTGGCCTGCAGTGTGGCCCGGGCAGGAATGCAGGACCCCTGTGGTCATCTCCACTAGGAATTCTCCTGTTTCCCCTCTGTCAGCCTCCTAAGCTGCAGAGCTAAGGTGCTACGCACAGCTGCAGGCCGACAGATTTCTGGTCTGTGGGGAATTTGCTTTTGTTGGGAAGGTATCCCAGTGAAGTTCTGCAGGAGTGGCGTGACGTCCGCCTGTTAATGTCTGCAGACCACCCATCTGTCAGTTTTTCACATTGTGGTGGCCTGTGTGTTGCTGTGATGCTGCAAGCTAGGCCACCAGTATTTCAAATATCAGCAGAGTCACCCATAGTGAACAGGTTTCAGTGGAGCTTTCAGACTAAGACAGCCTAGGAAGAAAGGCCTGGCGATCTACTTCTGACCATTAGCCAGTGAAAACCCTCTGGATGACGACAGCATATTGTCCGATACAGTGCTGGAGGTGAGCTCCGGAGGTCGGAAGGCACTCAGAATACACAGCGGCTGCAGTGACAGACCCGAGCACACCAACGAGCGGGAAGATGGCGGAGCCCTGGGCGACGTTTCGTTCGTTGTACGTCGGGTCGCCGTGAGTCGGAGCCAGCTCATCAGCAACTAACAGCAATAACAAGCTCTCTTATTTTTATCTATATCATGAGCTGCGTCTTTTTTAAAAAATACTTTTAATAACAAAGTAGATCAAAACTTCTTAAAAAGTCACACCCAAAGACTCACCGTCAACACCCACTTCCTGTCTGATGTCCATCCACACACCCCCCATCATGGACCTGCCTTCACAGGGACGATCCGTGTTGGCAGTGTGCATGGTTTCCTAACCACCACGCTCTCACTGGGACTGGTGCCACTCTGGCAAACAGTGAAGTGCTGGGCCACTAACCAAAGATTGGCAGACTGAACCCGCCCAGGGGTGCCAACCATGAAAACTCCGTGGAGCACAGTTCTGCCCAGACACATGGGGTCACCATGAGTCTGAATCACATCCCTGGCTTTATACGGTGCACGGGTAGGAGTGAAAGTCCGCCATTTCGTCCAGTGGAGACGGCTGCCCTGGGGTCTCCTCGCTTCCCCCCATGAACTCACCATCCAGCTTTGAACAACCACGTTTTTCTACACTGTGCCTCAGTTTCCCCTTCTGTAAAATACGGAGGTTGAATTACGTGATTTTGGGGTCCTTCAAGCAATAGAATTCTGATCCGTTGGTTTAGCAAGAAGGAGAACTGCCACGTGTCCTCGTGGGTGCGGTGATGATGAGGCAGCCTCCATCACACCTTCTGTCTTGGCCGCGGGGTGTGAGGGTCTGTGAAGAAAGCGCCCTCAGCCTCCCACAGAAACTGTGGGGGCTCCCCCAGCTCTGCCTGGCTGCCCAAGACAAACGCATGGGATCCTTCTACACAATAAAACCAACCCTGCTGCCGTCGAGTTGATTCCAACTCATAGCAACCCTACAGGACAGAGTAGAACTGCCCCACAGGGTTTCCAAGAAACAGCTGGTGGATTTGAACTGCAAACCCTTTGGTTAACAGCTGTAGTTCTTGACCACAGCACCCCCGGGGCTTCCACACAATAAGTGGACACTAAAGTGAGCTCCTGGGGCGCCGTGAGACCAGCCGACTCAACAGCAGCTAACAGCAGCGGCTCTTGCTCTATGCAGGTACTGTTGTACTGGCTTCACATGTATTGCCTCGTTCATTTCTCAGACTAACCCTGCAAAGCTGATACTGTTATTACCTTTGTTCTACCTATGGGGAGGAGTCCCTGGGTGATGCCAACAGTTAACATGTTCAGCTGCTAACCAAAAGGTTAGATGTTCCAGTCCACCCAGAGATACCTCAGAAGAAAGGCCTGGCGATCTACTTCCAAAAAATCAGCCATTGAAAACCCTACAGAGCACAGTTCTACTCTATCCACAGACATGGGGTCCCATGAGTCAGAGTCCACTCGATGGCAGGAGGTACTGGTGTAGACGGGGAAACTGAGCCGAGAGAGAGGCCCAGGATGACAGGCTAATGAGTGTCTGGGTTGGGAGTTAGCCCAGGCCACTGGCTCCACGGCCTCCATCCTGACCCAGATCCTCGGGGAAAGGGCGGATGGTTTTGTCCATGGTGTCAGGAGAGAAATGGAACTTCCCCGCACCGGAGAGAGAGGTGCGCGTGCGATAGCTGGACTGCCTGGGTGTGACAGAACTGAGAGTTGGCAGAGCAAAACGTAGGACACCATCCTGTGGCCCCAGCGGGGAAGGACTTCGTCAACAGAAGGACGAGAGGACGATGATCACAAGGCCAAAGAGTGGGTGACTGGGGTCACTGGTCGGTGTTGGGACACTGCCCTGCTGACCCGACTCAGGAACATGTGGGGACATTTTCTCTATCGCTCGCACGGAGACCACTTGGCTCCTGGCCTGGGGTCCCCCCGTGGCTCCTGGCCTGGGGTCCCATGCTGCTGTGGGGGCCCCAGAGGTGTCCTTACTCTCAGGTCGGGAGAGGTTTTTGCATCTCTGTTCCCAGATGCTAACCTTGGGGCAGTGTGAGCGTCAGAAGGAATAACATCTGGAGTTGGAGATAACACACTAAATTGAAAAAATAATCCCTGGGTCCATAGATCCTTGGGCAGAGAGACAGAAGCCCCCTTGGATTTCCAGTTCTGTCAGAAATCACCCCAAGTGATGCAGAAAAGCTGACACCAGTGGGTGAAGGACTGTAGGGAGATCCACACTTCATACAACACTGCAGGTTCCGTACTGCATCCGAGGAACACACGGGTCCTCACAGCAGGAGACCGCTCTTGGGCCACCTTCACCAAGTCATCCAATTTAGCATCACTTACAGCAGGGTAAGGGGAGCCCTGGTGGCCGAACCGTTAAGCACTCAGCTGCTAACCAAAAGGTGGACTGTTCAAACCCACCCAGCAGCTCCACAGGAGAAAGACTTGGCAGTCTGCTCCCGTGAAGATTACAGCCTAAGAAGCCCTCTGGAGCAGTTCTACTCTGCCACATGGGGTCACTATGAGTCAAAAACGACTTAAGGGCATCTAACAATAACAACAATGGTGGAATCACCACCTCTCCATCTGATGCAATCGGAACCTCACAGCATCATCTGTGCAGTGTTTTTGCCAAAAAGGTCGAGCCTGAACTTGATGAAGCCTGCAGACCTGACCTCGCTCTGCAGGAAATGCAGGGGTAGGGAGGCCAGTTAAGCAGCAATCAGAGAAAGCCGGCATGTGGGACGTTGTATAGGAAAACTGGCCTGCACGTATCAAAAGTCAACACGGCAGGGGCAGACCAAAGGGTGGTGGGCAATTCTAGATTCAAAAAGAATCAAGACATATAACAACCAAATAGAAATAATTTCTTAACTTGGGAAAAATAACAGCTAAAAAACTCATGGGAGGGTAATTGGGAAAATTTGAATATGGGTCAGATATTAGATGGCGTTACAGAATTATTGTTCATTTTCTTAGGGGTGATGGTAGTACTATAGTCCTGTAAGATATTGTCTTTATTCTTAGTAGTTGCAAGTCAGTGTACCTAAGAGTAAAGTGTCGTGGTGTCTACAATTTATTTTCAAATTTTTGGGTTAGTGATGTGTCTGTGTGTGTGTCTGTATGGGAATGAGTGTGTGTGTGTGTGTGTGTGTGTGTGTGTGTGTAGGGGGAGAGAGAGAAAGGAAGCAAATGTATCAAAATGTTAGCAATTGTTGAATCTTGGTGGAGGATTTCGGGGTGGTCATTATACAGTAAAACCTGATAAAGCCGGAAGCTGTGTAAGGTGGAAACCTGTCAGAGAAGGAAAACTCACATATTTCCCGCTAAAACAAGCAATAGAAAAGAGGTAAGACTGTACCCTGTCAGAGGCGGAAAACTTGCGAGGCCCAGAAAGACAAGGCAGTCCCGTCGAGCTCCGGCTCTCACAGGTTTCACTGTAGTACTCTTTCAACTTTTGTATGTTTGAAAATGTTTGTAAGAATAGGTTGGGGGGAACTGGCGATATCTGTCTACACTTGCCGTTCGATAGAACACCAGCTCTGCCTCTGAAAGCTTGTGTTCCTCTCTTTGCAGTCCGGGACCGTGTCCGGTCCCAGATGGAGAGGGACATTCTGGCAGAAGTGAATCACCCGTTCATCGTGAAGCTTCATTACGGTAAATACAGTGAAAAGCAACTGCTTTTGAGACAACCCAGGGGAAACTTCTCCAAAGTAAGAGGGTTTAAAAAGAGCCACAGGTCAGAAGGAAGAAAATCCCTGTAGTGAGAATCCTGTCCTGTCTGGCGGGGAATTTGTCCGATCTCCCTGTCCTTCATCTCCTTCATATCTGTCTGCCCTAAACGAGCCAGATACCCTTTGTCATCTCAAAGACCTAATTTTAGATGGGCTATCCATTATTATTAATGAAATTGTCGTCACCGATAATCTGGTAAAACGAGAGGTCTCTTGACCCAGACTGAGGTGAATTCTGTGACGCTTTTGTGTTATTCCAGAATAAAATGCTTTGTGACTCAATAGTTTCTCTAAACCAGAAATGGTAACACTCCCTACGTTTAAGGGAACACTGTGTTGCAAGCATTTTAAAGTTCACTCATGAACCTTCTAAACTTCTATTCAAGGTGGGTTATGATTTCCATTTTTCACAAGGGGAAACTGAGGCACAGATCAGCTGTTTTAATCCCATCTCATATCTGCTATGCCACGCTACTTTTCTTCATTTGCTTCTTCCTTTTTTATCTCCTCGGAGAAGCAATAAAATAAATCTTGAAATTTAAAAAGAAAGAAAAAACCCTATAGCTAGGTGACTCCAGCGTTCTACCGCCACGCTGCCGTAAAGTTTAGCGCTGTCCGTGAATAACTAATATGAGTAAAGTACAGAAAAAGGACAACCACGCACGCAGCTCTTCCCTGGTGTGGTTTCATAGGCAGGAGGAGGTGGGGTTTGGGGGAGATCATGACTGAGCTGTACAGAACGGTGAGGTGAAGGCGTAAACGCGGACCAAAGAATAGGATGCAGACTTCCGCATCTTTTCTGGTTAATTTCTTATATTACTAAGCAAACAATTCAGACTTGTTTAGAAATTATGTGGCCAATCCTTTCAAACAATAATAAAAGTTCTTATTTATGGTGTGGAGTCTGCAGGTGTTGTAAAGGGTTAACACGCTCAGCTGCTAACCAAAAGATTGGAGGTTTGAGTCCACTCAGAGGCACCTTGGAAGAAAGGCCTGACAATCCACTTCTGAAAAATCAGCCACGGAAACCCTGTGGAGCACAGTTCTGCTCTGACATGCACAGGGACGCCAGTAGGCAGTCCACTCAACAGGACCTGGTGTTTACTGTGGGCGCGCTGTGAGCCGGCACCGGGCTGCGACCTCCTAGGCCCGTGGGCAGGGACTGTTCCGTCTCCGTCTTCCAGAGCTGAGGCGGAGAGGTCCACCCTCTCTCTCTGCCTGATGCTGCAGCCTCTCCTGTTACGGATTCGCTGGTGTCAAATCCAGTCCTATCTGGCATTTTAATCGGTTTCCGGGGCGTTCTTCTGAAGACGTCAAGAAGAGGGTGTGCAGATGCTCCGTGTGGCCTCTGCGGCTGCTGGAAAGATGCCGTTCCCCGGGGCCGCCCACCAAGCCCCAGGATGGAACAGTTCATCCTGGCTTCAGTTTGCACAACTCTGATGCCAGGTTTCTAGCTGGAAGCTGTGTGTTCTAACCCCCCAACGTCTATAATGCTTCTAGCATTTCCTTTTAGAATACAAAATTTTGAAGCAGTGGTGACATCAGGACCCTCCCGTGTGCATGAAGTAGATACCAAATGATGCACCTCTGATGTCACCGACGCTGGCAGTGGCTCATGCCTCTCGTCTCCATCTGCGCACTGGCCCCTGGTTGACTGTGGCGTGCAGTGGCTGGCTGGTGGCCTAGAGCCGTGTGTGCCCGCTGGGCTGAAACTTAAAAAGTAAACCCAGCGTTGTGCTACTCCATGGTCACACCAGAGCTATGAGCCTCGTTATCATGATCTGTAAGTAGCTGGTCTGACCCCAGATCCTGCCACAGAGGAAGGAATCCAGTGACGGGCTCCCTGTCACGTACGTTGTAGAGGAGAGACTTTATTCAGACACCGTTAGAGCTGACCTCGTGTTACTCACTGAACGCATCGCAGTAGAAGCGCACGTTCTAAACAAGACCCAGGCGCCACCAAGCCTAGTGCCAGTAATGGCGATCATGAAAGCAAGGCTGAATATACAAATGCTTTTTTTCCCAACGTGCCTGTCAGTTCTCCTTATGATTGAAAAAGGAAGGAAAAAAAGGAAGAAAAGTGGGAAAGAAAGGTTGAAGGAGGGAAGAAAGAAAGAAAAGAGAAAATATCTGAAAACTCCTAATGAGAGTGGCAAGAGAATGTGTGAGATCAGGTTTTCCTATTTTCTGCCCCGGCAAGCTGGTCTCCAATCTGGGTTTCAGGCCTGTTTCTTCAGTGACTCAGCTTCGCAGATTAAATAGCGTTACATGAACCATTTGGGAGTGACAGACTGAGTCAGTGAAGGATGTCCACTCCAAGGAGACCTGCCCTCTGTAGACATGTCGCTCCTCTCTCCCTCTGTAGACACATTGTCTCTCTCTCCCTGTTGACACATCGTCCCTCTCTCCCTCTGTTGCCATGTCGTCCCTCTCTCCCTCTGTTGACATGTCGTCCCTCTCTCCCACTGTTGACACATTGTCCCTCTCTCCCTCTGTTGACACGTCGTCCCTCTCTCCCTCTGTTGACACGTCGTCCCTCTCT